CGGAATGCAGAATGGTGCTGAAAGACAGGAAGGAACTTGCAAGGGGCAGGGAGGTAGGGCCGGTCAGGCAGACCTAGCGTTGAGTTACCCCTGTAGGGTGGGCCCAGAATTTGCTCACCCTTCCTTCAGTACAGGCCCCTATCTGTGGGTCAGAGAGAAGGGCCCCACCTGGCTCCTCACCCGGAAGCGATTTCCTTCAGATAACTGATGCTCTACTTGTTAAGAAGGCATTAATGAAGCCTCTGCACTCCCACAAAGCTTTGTTCAAACCCATAGGCGAGCACTTAGCCTTGCATCCACATCTTCCCCATTAAACTGTGAGAGAAGGGTCAGGCCTCTACCATTGCCCCAACACCGAGCCATCACGGCGCTTGTGCACTACCTGGCTCTCAGTCAGCCTTCACCTGAGTGCCTCTGCCCCTCCAGGGAACTTTGGGAAATTGTCAGTCTAATGAGGGGGCTGAGCATCTCACACAAGCTCCAGATACCTTCGGGATTTCCAGGAAGGAGGCAGGAAGGGCAGGGTTAAAAAAGGGTTTTCTGCATAAGCTGTGAAAACAACCCTCGCCAGAAGCAAGCTGTTTTGAAGAGCAGAGTTGAGGAAAGGGGGGCCCTCTGGGTGGAAGGGACAGCAGAGCAGGGCTTAGAGCAGGGAGGCAGAGATGTATCTGATAAAGAGTAAAGAAACCCTCCCCAACACCTGGGCACTGGGCTAGGTGTCTGACAGACTTTATCCCATCTACTCCTTACCACAACGCTATGAACCAGATGCCATAATTTTGATGAGGAAACTGAACCTAGACAGGTCATCCACTTCGCCAAGGTCACACAGCTCGTAAGTGATGAGCCCTGGATGTGAACCTGATGCTCTGACTCCAGAGCCCTGTGTACAGCCTTACAGCACATAGCCTCCCAGGATTAGCCACTAAGTGCTTTTGTCTGGCTGGTGAGAAAAGTTAGAAATCAGAGTGAAAGGGAGATTATGAATCTTAGAATGGCCCTATTAAACTACCTCCACCCTCCAGCATTTCATGTGCATAGCTGTAGGAGTGCTTCCCAACCCACTACCAAGGAACACTGCTCAGGGAGATACTGACATTTCTACAACGAAACAAGTTTGGGAAATGGTATGTTATATCCTCCCCTCCCTGCTTCACAACGCGCTCATCCATGTCTCAGAAGCATGAAGAAGTCAAGAGGTTAAAAATCCCTTCATTTTGTTTAACCCATGACTCGCCAACATCTTGCCCATCGCATTTTGCAGCAGCTCTGTTAGTGCCCTGCAGAACAGTGCTCAGGCATGCCCTTTTGGGAATCTAGCATCGGCTTCAGTGGAGCGTGCCAGGGCCTCGTGTCGCTGGAGGACTGACTTCACAGCTGCCACACAGAACCTGCCTCTCCTGCAAAGAAACTCATGCTGCCACTGGCTGCGTGTGGTGTTTGGAAAAGTTGAATCTCCAAGCGTCATTTTTCTCAATTGTATAAAAGGAAAAAGGTATAAGCTCTTCCTTTGCAGGGTGTTAAGAGGACTCAATGAATGCAATAAGGGTTTCTTTCCCTCTCCCAGAGGCTCCAGCTTTTCCTAGTAGGTTTCGGGGAAATCAGGAGAAAAGGCTCATCGCTAAGTTTCTGCCCAGGGAGCAGCTCCGTGGATGCCCCTGAACCTACCTGTGGGCACGGAAGGCCCCGCCCCACGGGGAGACTCCTGCTTGCAGCGGGGAAGGCGCGCTGGGGCAGCGGCGACTCCCAGCCCGGAGTGGCGGCGGGAGGCGGGGCGGGGGCTGGCGCCTCGCTGCTTCCGGGGGAGCTGGCCGGCAGCGGGCCGCACTTCCCTCGGCTGGGGGCTCGCCGGCGCCCGAGCCCGCGCCTGGCTGCCCGGCGGCCGGGCGCCCCACGCGCAGGTGAGGCTGGGCGCGGCGCGGAGGGGCGGCGCGGGGCCGGGGGCCGGGGGCCGGGGCCGTGGGCGCGGGCGGGGGCGGCCTCGCGGCCGGGCGGGCCTCCGCGCAGCCGGGCCCCAGCGTCCCGGCCTCCCTTAGCGGCGGGAATACCCTGCCCTCCCTCCCGGCTTGCCCCTGCCTGCGGCACGTCTGCCCGATCCACCGCCGCCCTCTCCCCGGCTCCCTTTACCTGGCTCCCTCTGGCACCCAGAACACGGAAACAGAAGGAAATGGACCTCCGAGAAAGCTGTCACTTTCACTGTCGCAAAGAAGCTCGCGCCGGGAGCCCCTCCTTTAGCTTGGGTCGAAGAGCCGGGCTCGGTCAGGTTGTTTCCGTTTAACTGTAGTGTTTCTCCCAGCCTCCTAACATCCTTCTCTGCTCTGGTCCAGCCTCTCTTAATGGTCTATGTGGCAGTGTTTCGGCAAGAACAAGGCTTTATGTAGGTTTAACGACCTATACCGAGGCCTTCCTTCCACAGCCATTGCACGGACATCTCCCAGGGGCTAGGCACCGTGTGAAGTGCTAGAGTGACAGCGTTGACCGGGACAGATTCAGTCCTTCTGGAGACGGGTAAATAAGAATTCACAACACACCGATGAGTGCAGCTGAGCGAGGGGAAGTGTGGAGTAGTCCAGCAGCTGAGACGCCTAAGCCGGGGACGGGGAGGGTCAGGAATGACTGACTGGTGGAGAAAGTCACATCTAGTTATTTTTTAAACTTAAAAAAAAAAAAATTGAAATACAACCTACATACAGAAAAGTGCACAAATCGTAAGTGTACGGCTTACTCAGTTTTCACATAGTGAACATTTCCTGTGTAAGCTGCATCCAGAATAGACAAAACATTACTCCAGAAGCCCTCTTATGCCCACCGCCAATCACTGCTTTCCCCTAGTGGTGACTACTCTCCTGGCTTTTAACGTCATAAAGTAGTTGTACTTGGTTTTGAACTTTTGATACCTGGACTCATGAACTTATTCTGTATGGCATTTTATATTCAATATATGAGTTTCACCCATGTTGCATTTAGAGTAATTCATTTATTCTCACTGATGTGTAATTTTGCATGGTATGGATAGACCACAATTTATTTCTACGTTCTACTGACACTTGTGTTGATGGACATGGTTTGTTTCCAGTTTGGGGTTAACCAGTGCTTAACAAGATTCTCATGTTGTCTTTTGGTGAACATATGTAAGCGCTGGATGTGTTTATGTTCGGCTTTAGAATATAGTGCCAGCGTTTTCCAAAGTGGTTTTACCAATTTACACTCCCTTGGGCAGTGTGAGTTCTACTCCTCCACATCCTTACCAATGCTTGATATTGTCTCTCTTTTTCATTGTAGCCATTCCACTCACTGCTTGGGCAGTGGTGTTGCACTGAGGTTTTAATTTGCCTTTCTCTGATGACTAATGCTGCATTGTTCATCTTTTCAAGTCTGTTGGGCATTTGAATATCCTTGTAGTGAAGTGTCCAATTTTCTGCCTATTTTTCTATAGATTGTCTCTCTTTTTCTTAGTAGTTTGAAAGAGTTCTAAAATATTCTGGGTAGGAGACATATTTATTGAATGTGTATTTCTAAATTATCTGCTCTCTCTCAGGAGACTGCCTTTTCACTGTCCTAATGATGTCTTTTGATGAACAGAAGTTCTTCATTTTAATGTTGTCTAATTTATCATTTTTCCCTTATGGTTGTATTATTTTTGTCCAGCTTTTAAAAATCTTTGCCTACCCTGGGGGGTGGGGGATGAGGGTGGGCAAAATGGTTGAAGGTGGTCAAAAGGTACAAACTTCCATTTTAAAATAAGTCAGTCCTGGGGATGTAATGTACAGCCTGGTGACTATAGCTCATAATACTGTATTTGAAAATTGCTAAGAGAGTAGATCTTAAAAGTTCTCACCACAGGAAAAAAAATTTGTAGCTATGTGTGTTGAGGGATGTTAACGAGACTTATTGTGATGGCCATTTCACAGTATATACATAGATCGAATCATTATGTTGTACACGTGAAACTAATATAATGTTATATGTCAATTATATCTCAATTTTAAAAATCAGGAAGGTAATCAAAGTCAGAAAGATCATCACCTATATTTTCCTCTAAAAGCTTTATTGTTATTCTCACCTATATCTACTATCCATTTGAGATTAATTTTTTTGTCTGTTATGAGATATGTGTCAGGATTCGTTTTTTCCAAGGCTATCTAAACTGACCCAGTGCCATGTATTAGAAAGACCTTCTTCCCCCGTTGCACTGCAGTGTCAGCTTTGTCATGAATCAGGAGACTGTACGGATGTGGGTCTGTTTCTGGACCCCCTCTTCTTCCATTCGTCTGTCTGTCCTTGTGCACCCAATATCACGCATGCTGCCCTAATTATTGTTGCTTTATAATAAGTCTTTATTATTCTGGTAGTGGAAGTCCTCAGCATTGTTCTTCTTTAAGATCTTAGGTATTTTTATCTAACCCTGCTGGCAAAGCCTTTTTCAAAAATATATAAAAAGTAGTCATTCTGTAAGCTCAAAACGGGCCTAATGTATAAGGGTATGATTGGCATAATTTGTAAACTCTATCCATCCATAAATTCACTGCTGACAATCTATATTACATTCAATGCCTGCATATTTACATGAGACCTACAGCAAAGTGAATACAAAATAAATTCACATCATTTTAGTGAAAAATGACCTTTAGTACATATAAGATATAGTTTCAAAACAAAGAGAATTTTTTAAAACTAAGAAACTGAAGTTTTCCAAAGGCCAATTTGCTACTTTTGCCAAATACAGCAACGTTAATTATAATGCTTCCCATTCATGTTTGGTTGTAAGATATGTTCCTATGTGACTGAAATGCAGCTGAAGTTTTAGATTTTAATAACCAAAGTAAAGTACTTTTGATTAATAATTAAATTTAAAATAGTAGGTGCTTTTATATGCATACATGCACACATAGATACATATATATATATATTTTTTGGAATATTTTTTGTGTGTGTGAGGAAGAGTGGCCCTGAGCTAACCTCTGTGCCAGTCTTCCTTTATTTTGTATGTGGGACACTGCCACAGCATGACTCGATGAGTGGTGTGCGGGTCCACACCCAGAATCCAAACCCGCAAACCCAAGCCACCAAAGGGGAGTTAGTGAACTCAACCACTTTAACACTGAGCCAGCCTTTGGAAGACTTTGACATTTTTTAAAGTCTTCCAAAATTTACAAATGTAGTGCCGAAAGCATATGTACCTCACTATATACTTAGCAAACATGATTTATTTTAATACAAGTCATAAGACTGCAGTTAATTAACCAGAATGCCATGATTGTTTTCTGCCTGCTAGAGTTCTATCTTAAATCTGAGTTTCTAGCAAAATCAGTAATTTAGAACTTATTTCACAAAATCAGCTCCAAGATTTGCTGGGCACTTTTCCATTATTCCACCACTTATAAACATAAGTAACAGTATATAGAGACTAGTGGCTCCTTGTATCAAAATTACCTGGAGAGCTCTTTAAAAATACAGATTCTTGGGCCCCACTTCTGAACTATTGAATAAGAATTTCCTGAGGTATCTATATTTTTAAAAGCTCTCTAGGTGATAACGATCTGCAGTTTGGTCTGAGAACCACTGACGTAGCTGACAAGACTGATCTTTAGGTACGTCAGAATGCTGGGGTACTGGTTTAACAAGTAGGTTCCCAAGCTTTACGCCCAGAGATCTGATTCAGTCACTTCGGGATGCAGCGCAGGAACAGGCCATCATTGCCGTTGACCCCTGTCTTTGTTTTCTGTGTTGTGTAACAAATTACCACAAGTTTAGCAGCTTAAACCAACACCTATTTATTGTCTCATAGTTTCTGCAGGTCAAGGGCCCAGGCAAGACTGGCTCAGTCTTCTGCTGGGATCTCACGGGGCTGTAGACCAAGTGTTAGCTGGGGCTGCAGTGCTATCAGAGACTCAACTGGGGAGGGATCTACTACCAAGCTCCCTCAGGTTGTTGTTTGTTGTCAAATTCATCTCCTTGGGTGTAGGGCTGAGGTCTGTTTTCTTGCTGGCTGTCAGCTGGAGACTGCTCTCAGCTTTCAGAGCTGCCTGCAGTTCCTGGACCCCTGGCCCTCTTGTGCCATGGCCAATTCTTCAGAGTCAGCAAGGGAGCCTCTCTCTAGTCTGCTAAGATGGACTTATAGACACACATACAAGTGTGCACACACATACATATGCACACGATATTCATATATGCTCTATTTATATATACACGTCTTATAGTAAATATACCTAGTATATGTGTGATATATATACATACATATACACGCACACCATATATAGTAACCTAATCATGTGAGTGACATCCCATAACCTTTGCCACAGTCTGTTGGTTAGAAGTCATGAGTCCTGCCCACACTCACAGGTGTGAATGTGGGGGCCACCCTAGGGTCTCTCCACAGTACGCAAACCACTCTACTGTACTGTGCCTATCGAGCCATTAACAATTAAATTTGGCACTTTAAGTGACATTGTCGTGCAAGTCCTAATGAATCCTGCCCTGACAAGTTTTCAGCAAGTGTTTGAGAAGAAAACTTAGCCTTTGAAACTGATGTTCTTAAAGTCAAAATCAAGTGAAGTGTAGATGATAATTTATTTGTCAAAGAAGTGAAAAACTCTTTCAAATAATTTAAACTTTTAAACAGACCAGTTCTTAGCACTCAAATGCTTTCTCCATTCATTGACCTGAGATACAATCAGAGAAAGTATATTAGTTTCCTATTGCTTCTGTAACAAATTACCACCAACCTAGTGGCTTAATACAACACATTTATTCTCTTACAGTTGTGGCTGTCAGAAGTCTAAAATGGACCAGCAGGGAGGAATCTACGTACTTGCCTTTTCTAGCTTCTAGAGGCACCTGCATTCCTTGCTGGTGGCCCCACATTACACCAATCTCTGCTTCTGTCGTCGGCATCTCCTTCTCTCACTCTGACCCTCCTGCCTTCCTCTTATAACACCTGTGGGATTACATTTGGCCCACCTGGATAATCCAGGATAATCTTCCCATCTCAAGATCCTTAATCACATCTGCACAGTCGTTTTTGCCCTGTAAAGCAGCATATTCACTGGTTCTGAGGATTAGGATGTGGACATCTTTGGGGGACCATTATCCTCTCTACCACAGATAGTAATTCCAGCCTAACAGAAATGTAATATGCATTATATAAGATGCATGTTCTAATCATGTGCCTTTGTAGGCTTCAGTAGACTTTCTGTATAATAGATATTGGAGACCAGTTAGATAGTGGATAATATTAAATACACTTGGGATTTTATACAGTGAAACTTCATAATATTTCCCTCATAGAATAAGTTCCTACATATAATATTGGAAAAGGCTTCTAAAAAACATTAAAGGTCTCATGCTGCTGCTCTTTTTGAAGAAGCTCTTTACTAATTTTTTATCAAGTCTTTGTAATTAGCTACAAAGTAGGTATTTAGGTATATATCATTCCACTTTATGAATTTTTTAAAAGCGCAAGGAAAAGTGACCACATGTAAGACCACTCAGCAAATCAGAGGACAGACAGAGCCGGTGATTAGAGCTTCCAGGTGGGCATTTGGGTTCATGATCTTCGTATCTGCTTGACAACTCTGTCTCCTGTATCTCCATATAGGACTATTACTAAGCCTCGTAGAGATTAAAGCGTATTTGAGTGTGACAGCTGCACAAGAAGTGAAAAGTAATAAGGAAGGTGCAGGGACTCCAGGAAGTAGACCCTGCGTACGGTTAATGAAACTTATCTGCCATCTTGCCCAATTATCCTATGTCAAAGATGCTCTTATTTTCTGTGTTTAAACGTTTCCATAACGTTGGTCACAAGGGGTTATATCAACCCACTTCCAGTGCCATATGCTGTTGGGCAACTGGATTTCTTTTTAACCAAGCAATGGAAAAAGGCAATGACCAAAAATTGTCCTGTATTGCAAAAAGGGCAAGTCATTTCATAAAAGGAGCAACTGAAACTTTTAAATCTATATCTGTTAAGTGGATTAAAGTATTATGTTAATTTTTAACTTTTAGGCTATCATTAAAAATATCAAATGATTCTCCAGTTTCTAAGTGTATCAAGACCAAATAATGAATTTTAAAATTGAAAAAATATTTAATCTAGAAAGCAAGTGGCATTATGTCTACTACTGGGGGAAAAGGACATCTTGAATGGTTGAAATGAAGATATCGAGAGACAGTGACTCCTGACCCGGAAAAGGATTTTGAAACCTAACAGCGGTTAATCAGGCACTGCCTTAACCTCAGCCCACCACTCAGGCTGTCTGAAATCTGAAGAATATTAGGTAGGAAAAGAAACTCATATCCATGCCAACATTTACCTTTGCGTGTCCTCTTGGCTGGCTTTGCAGCTGACTGCTTTTTTCTTTCAAACACCTCTCTGGTTCCTGAGCCCGCTCCAGCTCCCCTTTCTGCCCGCCTTGCCGCTGCCGTTTAAGTTCTCCTTTTTTTTTTTTACTTTTTGAACTTTGGTCTATTTTCATGAATCATCAGTGTCTCTTATGTTCATCAGCTTGGCATAAGAGTACTAAAAATTTAGCAGTGAATGAAACATTATTGTCCCGCGTTGAATGACATCCTATAAATTTTGAAACCCCTTATTTCAGTGTGTCTAACAACCCAAGTTGTTTCCATGTGAGTTTCCAGGGTTTTGTTCTGACCTCTGCAGATCCGTCAGAGTGAAAAGCAGTCCTCTGCCAGTTCCTCCACAGCGCTCGAGCCAAGTTCCCCACCAGCCCTGCATCTGCAGGAGTGTCACCAGATCACTGCAGCTCCAACTTGGATCAGGGCGGGCTCAGCTCCACATAGCGTCCTTCCAGAAACCTGGGCTGAGAGAGCCTCCACCCTAAGGGACACCCCAGTCATCGTGGTGGAAAGAGAGCATGCCAAGTTGCCCATCTAAGGTATTCTTGGTCCTTTGCATTTCCATGTAAATTTAGAAGCAGTTTGACAATCCCTTAACCCCCCAAAACAAAACCCTTCTGGAATTTGGGATAGCACCGATCTAAAGATTAGTTTAGGGAAAATTGATTATAATACTTAGTCTTCTAAACCATATCCCTCCAATATCTAGGTTATTTTAAATATATATAACCCACACTATTTTCTGAGCATTATATACCATGCACCACTAGCACTTTACATAAATTATCTCATGTAATCTTCACAATAATGCTGAGAAGCAGGTTCTAGTGTTATTTCCATTTCACAAATAGAGATCTTAAAGCTTAGGGAGATTAAGTAGCTTGCCTAAGGCCACAGTTAATAAAAGGAGAAAATCCAGGCACTCTGCCTGCAGTCTGCGGTCTTCACCACTGTGTGCCACTACCTCCCTGAGCTGACGGCCAAGGAGGGAGGGAGGGAAGGATGGATGAGGGATGGATGGATGGGTGGGTGGATGGATGGATGGATGGATGATTATTCAGGGGAAGGCAGACTTAGCAGAAAAGTCTCCCATGGTTTCTTGTGTGTGTTCTCTCTCCTGCTCAGCAGTTGTCTACTAGGATACATAATTATTTGCCCAAACAGTAACTGTCCTTTTCTTCCCATTTCAGCATTTATACAGGGAGTCTCTATAAAGAGCTGCCTGCCAGCTGCCCTTCCCCAGATCCTGAATGCACTCCTGGCCAGGTGGAGCAGAGAACAGTCACTCTACTGGTCATGCTGAGCTCATACTCTGTAAGTCTGACCACTCTACACAGATCTGGGTTTATCTAGAAACCAGCTCCAATCACAGTAGTGTCTGTGGGACCCGTTTAGAGACTGAGCCTCTTCAGGTATTAGGAGAGAAAGAACATCCAGAGCCCACCCACTGGGGCTGAGAGTAAGGTAAGTACAGCTTTTGTGATCCTTTCTCTGTCTGTTATAGGATGGCTGTTCCATGAGGTCAAGGCTGGGTCCCTTCCCTTCTCCTGCTTTACCAATGCCTGGTCTCATGGGGTTAGTTTTGAGCCCAACACCATGGCATCGTCATCCTCCTTCCCAGCTCCTCGATCCCGGTCCAGGAAGCCTCTGGGCAAGATGGCTGGTGAGTGGGAGTCAGCTCCTAATTCCGCTCTTTTTTCTGTGAGTGTAGTCCTCAATCTTCCTCTGGGCACGGTGGGAGGCCTGTGTAGCCCAAACACAGGGGAGAGACGCAGGGAGGCTGAAGATGGGCTGGTGCTCCTGCCTTGACCTCAGTGTCCAGATGCTTTGCAGCGACTGAGGAGAGGAGGCATGCATCAGTGGAAACTTCAGTCCTTGTGGCTCACAGGTTTTCCACATGCTCACCTGATGTTCCTATCCTGGAAACCATTGTGCTGAGTGCTTCACTCTGCATTTCTTGTCATCTACATCTTCCAGAACCATTCAGAGGAAGGAGCCGAGCGGAGAGAAAATAAATCAGTCTCTAGAATACCAAGCTTTCTGTCCCCATCAAAAGCTGGGAAACTGAGTTGAAATCATTCTAGAGTACTTACAACATACCAGACACTGGATTATCTCAGTTAATCTTCAACAACAACTAATATGAACCCATTTTACAGATGAGGAAAGGCAGACGTAGACTGACTTGCTTAAGGCCATACGGAAGCAAGCAGCAGGTCCACAATCCCATCTGTGTGCCTGACTCCAGTGTAGGTTCTGAATCACTCACTCTGTGCTCCTGAAGAGCTCTGCACAGTAGCCCTCTTCATTTTTACCCATTTGTTTTACTCCTTTAGCAACAATCTAGGATTTTTCAGGGCTAACCAAATGCCAATTCCTCCTCCTCTTTCTCTCCCAAAATGGGTAGCCCACCTTAATCTAAATCTACCTCCCCTCAGTGCTGAAAATGGGTCTGGGGACTGGTTGATCCTTACTCGGTTAATATAGCGCTACTTACAGACTCACAAATGGTTGACTGGTCAGCTCTAGGGGGAAGTTCTGGTTAGGGTAGGCTGGGGGTACTAGAAATCTAAGGGCCTGGAGCAGGGCAAAGCCGTCTTACCCAATCAGGCTGCTCAAACAGCCAGAGTTCTTATGTATTCCCCAAACCTTTAAAGATAGAGGGAATTTTTAGGCAAATCCTGCAGGATGTACAAAATAGCAGAGCATAGGTCTCTCAGAATAAAGTGGCCTTGTTTGCCAGTGCAGGGGAGATGGGCTGGAGTCTAGCCCCAGCCTGGGCCCCACCCTGCGGGGCCCTGAAGAGGCCACCTGCTGAGAAAACCAGGCCTGAGCAGTGTTTGTCCCCCCGCAGACTGGTTCAGACAGGCCCTGTCGAAGAAGCCCAAGGTACCTGTCTCTCCAGAAAGCACCCCTAGTGATGTGTCACAGCCGAGCTCACAGGACAGCAACCCACCTCAGTGCCTCAGCTCAGTCGTGTCTCCCACTCCACCACCAACAAACACGGGCACCAGCAGTAGCAGCAGCAGCAGCGGCCGCTGGAGCAAGGACTATGACGTCTGCGTGTGCCACAGTGAGCAGGACCTGGTGGCCGCCCAGGAGCTGGTCTCCTACCTGGAGGACAGCCCTGCCGGCCTGCGCTGCTTCCTGCAGCTTCGGGATGCAACCCCAGGCGGTGCCATTGTGTCTGAGCTGTGCCAGGCACTGAGCAATAGTCACTGCTGTGTGCTGCTTATCACCCCAGGCTTCCTCCAGGACCCGTGGTGCAAGTACCAGATGCTGCAGGCCCTGACCCAGTCCCCCGGGGCAGAGGGCTGCACCATCCCCCTGCTGTCAGGCCTCACCAGAGCCGCCTACCCCGCTGAGCTCCGATTCATGTACTTCGTGGACGGCCAGGGCCCTGACCACGGCTTTCGCCAAGTCAAGCAAGCTGTCATGCGTTGTAAGTTATGGGAGGAAGGGAAGGCGGTTTAGCCAGTGTCTGATCTACTTTGGCTTTTAGGAGTCAGCCACTGTAGCCTCATAGTTCAAAGTGCAGCCTCTGGAGGAGATTGTCTGTTACTGGGGCAAATTACTTAACCCCAGTGTCTGGGTTTCCTCATTGGTAAAATGAGAATGACACTATATGCCTCAATAAGTATAAACACTAAGTAAGAGTTCAGGACACAGCCTGGCACGTGTAAAGTACTCCTAACAGGCACGGCCCAGCACAGATCAAGTCCTCCATAAATATTAGCCATTATTATCATTGTTAGTATTAGGTTTCTTTCACTGAGGTCAGGTTCGAGATGTCCCCAAGAGCTGGGAAAATGCCAGGTGCAAAATAATAGGAAAGAATTGCCTACAATACGTGTATCCAGGGGAGGGCCATTATATTACAGTGGGTTTAGAAGTAAAGTAGATAAAAAGGTAGAAGAGGTGGGACCTGTTGGGGGACACAGAGATGCTGGGATTTGGGGAGGGTGACAAGCCCTGTGATTCTGTTTGGTCTCTTTCAGATCTGCAGACCCTCAGCTGACACTTGTTATATCACCAGGGGCCCCAGAAAGTTGGAGCAAAGTTGGAAATCAAGTTAGAAAGCCCAGGGCCCGGCAGGGCCTTGGGTTCCAGCAGATGTGATAAGGTGTAAGGAGCCAGTTAGCAGCACTTTGTATGTGATCCTGGGATCAGATTGTGCCTCAGGCTTGCATTACTGTGGGCTCCCCAGGAAGGCCACGGGGATGCTGGGGACTCCCCCAGGAAGGCCATGGGGATGCTGGGGACTCCCCCAAGAAAGCTGTGGGGAAGCTGGGGACTCCCCAGGAAGGCAGTAAGGAAGCTGGGGACTCCCCAGGAAGGTCATGGGGAAGCCAGAAATTGGAGGTGGGAGGAGGAGGAGGTGCTGATACCAAGATGATTACCAACGTTTTGCCTCCTGCCTAACTGGACATGAAGCCTGGCGTATACCTGTGTCTTCCTCCCCTGGAGTCGGGCGCTGGTGTAGAGAAGCATTTCTCCTCAAGAGGCGACTCACCTGATTAATGAGCTGGAAGCCTGGACTGTGTGCCTCAGCGTGTATGGTTTTCCCAGTCGAGCATCGAGTCCTTCACACTCACTTTACTGCCTTTCTCTTTCCCAGGGACATCATTCATTTCAGTAAGCTACATGAAGATGCATTCAGCACTGTACTCCATTTATTTTTATTGCATGGGTGTCATTGAAGACTCAAACCTAGAAACCGTTCTGAATAGAAGGAGAGGGCAGGGACCAGGTAGGGTGAAGAGGAGGAAAGCTCAGACCTTCACCTGGCATCAAAAGCCCACCCACTGATGCTTTGACTTAGGGGGGCCTCATCAGGGGTCTGGCTGGAGCTCACGCTTTTACCTCTGCACTGAGAGGGACTGGCGTTTTTCTTCTGGCAGCTGACTATGCACCTTGTAGGACAGGCAAGGTTTCATTCATCAGTTCTCAATAAAATTTTTCTTTGCCACAGCCACCTCCCCCTACTCAATAAAAATTTGTTGAACCAAAATGAATTTTATTCCCCCAATGTGTACTTTTATGCCTCTTCTCTCACTTTCCCCACCATGTCCCCTCCTTTTACTGAAAAAATTTATATATATATTTTAAATTCAGATATAATTGACATATAACATATTAGTTTCAGGGGTACAACATCATTTGATATTTGTATATATTGTGAAAAAATTGATATCTTTAATTATGAATTATTTTATTACATGCAAAAGGACTAAGGAATAATGTAATGTACACTCATGTACCTACTACCCAGCTTAAGAAGCAAAACCTTACAATCCCTATGGTGCTCCCTTTGTGCCCTTAATTACATTCTCCTCCCTTCTCCCACCAGAAGTAACCACTGTTCTGAATTGTGAACTTATCATTCTTAGCTTTTCTCCAGAGATTTATTATATGTGTGCATCCCTGGCGACATATTTACTTTTACATGATTTTATACTTTACAGAAATGGTATTATGTTTGTATTCTACACATTCCTTTTTGTTGTTTACCACATTTGTAAGCTTTATCCGTGTTGATGCATGTAACTCTGTAAATTCATTTCCACTCCATTATGTAAATATACAACTATTCAGTCACACAGTCTTTTACAGATGGACATCTGGTTGTTTCTAGTCTTTTGCTATTAAAAACACTGAGCCTATGAACATATTTGTACATGTTTGCATGAGCAAAATTTTCTAGGATTTAGCCTAGATGAGGAACAGCTGGGTAGTAAAAATACACAGCTTTAGTTTTGGTAGAAGATACCAAATTTTCTTCCAAATTGGTTGTGCCAATTTATGTTCTTCCCATTTGTATGTAACATGTCTTTCATGTTCTTGCTAACACTTGGAATTGTCAGGTTTAAAAATTTTTGCTAATCTGGTAGGTGAAAACTGGTATCCTATTGTCATGATGTTCCTCCTTTCCTTTTTACCTTGTTTATGAAAAAACTATAGATCATATACTAAAAAAGAGAAGCGTGTGATGAATCCCCATACAGCCATCACCCAGCTTCAACAATTACCAACTTGTGCTGAGCTTGTTGCAATAACCCCACTTGCTCCCTCACCCCCAGATTCTTTTGGAGCAAATCCCAGGCATTGTTTATTTCTTCATCTTTAAGGCTGTATCTCTAAATTATTGGAAGTTTTAAAAACATTGTGTCTTTTAAAGAACAGAAGTTTTTTTTTTTAATTTTTTTTTAAGATTTTATTTTTCCTTTTCTCTCCCCAAAGGCCCCCGGGTACATAGTTGCGTATTTGTAGTTGTGGGTCCTTCTAGTTGTGGCATGTGGGATGCCTCCTCAGCGTGGCCTGATGAGTGGTGCCATGTCCACGCCCAGGATTCGAACTGGTGAAACCCTGGGCTGCTGTAGCGGAGCAATGAACTTAACCACTTGGCCACGGGGCCGGCCCCTATTTTCTTTTTTTTCTTAGGAAGATTAGGCCTGAGCTAACTACTGCCAATCCTCCTCTTTCTTTTTGCTGAGGAAGACTGGCCCTGAGCTAACATCCATGCTCATCTTCCTCTACTTTATTATATGTGGGACGCCTGCCACAGCATGGCTTGCCAAGCTGTGCCATGTTTGCACTGGTGAACCCCAGGCTGCCGAAAAGTGGAATGTGCGAACTTAACCACTGTGCCACTGGGCCGGCCCATATTTTTTAATATTAAAAACTTTCATCTATTCCTTCGTAGTCTGTGTTCTTGTGTCTGATTTAGGAAATCCTTCCCCACTCCTGTATTTTCTTCTGGAAGTATTTCACATTTAGGCCTTTAAGCCACTTGGATGTTTTGTTTGGGTTTTTGTTGTTGTTCTTGCCTCCTAACTCAGAGATCCAACTTTGTTTTTCCATTTGTACAGCCATTATTTACCGACTAGTCCATCCTTGCTCCCACTGATTGTGATGTCACTGCTGTCATATACTGTCATATGCAGGGGTCTACTCCTGGGTTCTCCACCCTCCTCCATTTGTGTGTTTGTGTATCCCTGTATCAGTGGCACACTGGCTTACTTACTATGGTTTTTAATAAGCTCTGATAACTTGTAGATTGATTTTTCCCACACTCTTCCTATTCATCGAAATCACTTTGACTTTTCTTGTTCCTTTACTCTTTCATATAAATTGTTTATTCAGTTTGTCAGATTCCAGGAAAATGCCTGTTAGTATTTTTATTACATTACATTGAGTTGAGAGATTAATTTAAGAAGAATAGATGCTTTTATGATATAGAATCTTTCTCTCCATAAAAATGGTATGTCTTCATTTATTGATGTCTTCAAATGTATTTCAATAAAGCTTATAATCTTTTTCCATGTTGGTCAGTCACATCTTTTATTAGATTTATTCCTTGGTACTTCATATTTTCTGTAGCTGTTCTAAAAGTTTGTGAGTTTTTTTTTAATTAAGGTTATGAAAGTTAACATCCTTGTGAAATTACAGTGGTACATCATTATTAGTCATGTTGTAGGTACACCACTTCACCCCTAGTGCCCTCCCACCACCCCCCTTTCCCCTGGCAACCACCGATCAGTTCTCTTTGTCTATATGTTAACTACCACCTATGAGTGGAGTCATACAGAGTTCGTCTCTGTCTGGCTTATTTCACTCAACATAATACCCTCAAGGTCTATCCATGTTGTTGTGAATGGGACGACTTTGTCCTTTTTTATGGCTGAGTAGTATTCCATTGTATATATATACCACATCTTCTTTATCCAATCATCAGTTGCTGGGCACTTAGGTTGGTTCCATGACTTGGCTATTGTGAATAATGCTGTGATGAACATAGGGGTGCATGGAACTTTTGGAATTGCTGATTTCAGGTTCTTAGGATAGATACCCAGTAGTGGGATGGCTGGGTCATAAGGTATTTCTATTTTTAACTTTTTGAGGAATCTCCATACTGTTTTCCATAGTGGCTGCAGCAGTTTGCATTCCCACCAACAGTGTATGAGGGTTCCCTTTCCTCCACAGCCTCTCCAACATTTGTCACTCTTGGTTTTGGATATTTTTGCCATTCTAACAGGTGTAAGGCGATATCTTAGTGTAGTTTTGATTTGCATTTGCCTGATGATTAGTGATGACGAGCATCTTTTCATGTGTCTATTGGTCATCTGTATATCTTCTTTGGAGAAATGTCTGTTCATGTCCCCTGCCCATTTTGTAATTGAGTTGTTTGATTTTTTTATTGTTGAGTTGTGTGAGTTCTTTGTATGTTATGGAGATTACCCCTTTGTTGGATAAATAACTTGTGAATATTTTTTCCCAATTAGTGGGCTGTTTTTTTTTGTTTCAATCCTGTTTTCCCTTGCCTTGAAGAAGCTCTTTAGTCTGATGAAGTCCCATTTGTTTATTCTTTCTATTGTTTCCCTCATGTGAGGGGTTATGGTGTCCGAAAAGATTCTTTTGAAGCTGATGTCAAGAGTGTACTGCCGATATGCTCTTCTAGAAGACTTACTGTTTCAGGCCTAATCTTTAGGTCTTTGATCCATTTTGAGTTTATTTTAGTAAACGGTGTAAAAGAATGGTTGGGTTTTCATTCTTTTACATGTGGCTGTCCAGTTTCCCCAGCACCATTTGTTGAAGAGACTTTCTTTTCTCCATTGTAGGCCCTCAGCTCCTTTGTCAAAGATTAGCTGTCCATAGATGTGTGGTTTTATTTCTGGACTTTCAATTCTGTTCCATTGATCTGTGCACCTGTTTTTGTACCAGTACCATGCTGTTTTCATTACTGTAGCTTTGTAGTATGTTTTGAAGTCAGGGATTGTGATGCCTCCAGCTTTGTTCTTCTTCCTCAGGATTGCTTTAGCAATTCGGGGTCTTTTGTTGCCCCATATGAATTTTAGGATTCTTTGTTCAATTTCTGTAAAGAATGGCATTGGAATTCTGATTGGGATAGCGTTGAATCTGTAAATTGCTTTAGGCAGTAAGGACATTTTAACTATGTTTATTCTTCCAATCCATGTGCATGGAATGTCTTCCCATCTCTTTATGTCGTCGTCGATTTTTCAAGAAGGTCTTGTAGTTTTCATTGTATAGATCTTTCACTTCCTTGGTTAAATTTATCCCAAGGTATTTTATTCTTTTTGTTGCGATCGTGAATGGGATTGAGTTCTTGAGATCTTTTTCTGTTAGTTCATTGTTAGCATATAGAAATGCTACTGATTTATGTATGTTGATTTTATATCCTGCAACTTTGCTGTAGTTGTTGATTGTTTCTAATAGTTTTTCTATGGATTCTTTGGGGTTTTCTATATATAAGATCATGTCGTCTGCAAACAGCCAGAGTTTTACTTCTTTGTTGCCTATTTGTATTCCTTTTCTTTCTTTTTCCTGCCGAAAAATATGGAACGCTTCCCGAATTTGCATGTCATCCTTGTGCAGGGGCCATGCTAATCTCTGTATCATTCCAATTTTAGTATATGTGTTGCCGAAGTGAGCACTCTAAAAGCTATTTTTAAATTACATTTCTTATCTATCACTGGTAGAAAAGATGGCAATTTATTTTGCATAGTGATCTAATATTAAGCAACCTGCTGAATTATTTATTCTTTAAGACATAGAGGGGCTAGCCCCGTGGCCGAGTGGTTAAGTTCGCATGCTACACTGTGGCAGCCCAGGGTTTCGCCAGTTCGGATCCTGGGATCCTGACCACTCATCAGGCCATGCTGAGGTGGCATCCCACGTGCCACAACTAGAAGGACCCACAACGAAAATATACAACTATGTACTGGGGGGATTTTGCAAGAAAAAAGCAGAAAAAAATAAATTAAAAAAAAAGACTGGCAACAGTTTAAGTTCAGGTGCCAATCTTTAAAAACAAAAAAAGACCATAGATTTTGTTGGGTTTCCATTAACCCAATCATATAATTTGCAAAACAAAACAAAAACTTGAGTTCCTTGTCTTTCTGTGCTGCCTGGGACTGCCGGTAAAATGTTGAAAGTGAGAATAGCCACCGCCTGTGTCTCATTTATGATTTTAAAGGGAATGCTTCAAATATTTCACTATTAAATGTGATATTTGTTGTAGGTTTTTGGTTTGGTGTGTTTTTTTAAACAAATTGTAAGTTTCCTGCTGTTTTCAGTTAAGAGTTTTACTTATCTTGAGAAGGTTTTAAATTTAATCTAAAATTTTCACATCTACTGAGATGATATGTTTTTTTCCTTTTGCTCAGTTAATGCAGCGAGTAACATTAGATTTTCTAATGGGAAGCCAGCCTTGCATTCCTGGGGTAAACTCAATTTGACCACGATGTATTGCCTCTGTTATAAATCACAGGATTCAGATTGCTAACACTTTCTGTAGGATTTTACATCTCTGCTCATACGTAGGAATGGCCGATTGTTCTGTCTTGTATTACCCCTGTCCGGTTGTGTTACCAGGGTTATACCAGCTTTATAAACTAGTTGTGGAGTGGTCCCTTTTTTCTATTCATTGAAGAGTTTAAGCTCGGAATTAATTGTTTCTTGCATGTTTGGGAGACTTATCTGTAAATCCATCTGGACCTACCACTTTCCTTACGGGAAGATTTAAAACTGCAATTTCAATGTCTTAAAGAGTTAAAGATCTATTTAGATTTTCCATTTCTTCTGGAGTCAATCTGGCATAGAGTAAGCAGTCAATAAAGAATACAAGACCAGCTTAAATAGCTTCTTCAGTTTGAATTTCCTGCATCATACAGGCAGTATAAATCCAAACTCTAAACCTGCATGAAGATTGGCCTGTGGTTATGAATTTTCAGGGGATTTTTTTTTTCTTCCCTCCAGAGCCAGATGTTGAGGCAGATAAGTTTCCCAAATATCTTGTCTCCTTTAGGGGGCAGCTTTTGTTTTACTTATTTATTTTTTAATAGTTGGCCCTTTCACTGAGGTGGTGAACCTTCAGATATCTTGCCTTTATGGGAAGTTCTCTCTTCTGATTCCTCACCTCGCACAAGCCCAGGTCTTGTCTCCTGTGCCTTAAACATCACATTTAAAGCCCAAGACTCTAGATTTCTAGAAACCAGCAATCTCTCTTAGAACTTCTGCTTCAACATCCACTTATCATTCTCTAAATTTGTGCTCCTACATTTTTCAGTTCTGAAAACCTTATTTTCTTGAGAGAACAGCAATGCAGCCAAAAAGATGTTTTTAATTTTGCATCCAGAATGTTGAGGTGTTTTTAGGAAATCTAGTCTGTTATAATACCTGAAATGGAAGTGTCTAGTCCTTCCTTAAACTAAAAAAAAGATTTGGGAGAAGTTTTGAGATTCTTCAAGAAGAGTGAAAGATAGATACTTATAGACAGACGACAGATCTCCAGTAGTAACCTTCTAATACAGGACTGTCCACTTCAACTTTCTGTAATCATGGAAATGGTCCACATCTGTGCTGTCCAATATGGTAGCCAGTAGCCTTATGTGGCTATCAGGTATTTGAAATGTGGCTGTATGACTGAGGAACTGAATTTTCAATTTTATCTAATTGTAATTAATTCAAATGTAAACAGCTACATGTGGCTAGTGGCTAGCGGCTGTTGGATGGGACGGTGCAGAGCCTTCTAATGTTTCCAAGGAAGGTGAACTAAAAAATTCATCAACAGAGGCTGGCCCTGTGGTGCAGCAGCTAAGTTTGCACATTCCGCTTTGGCAGCCCAGGGTTCGCTGGTTCAGATCCCGGGTGCGGACATGGCACCGCTTGGCAAGCCATGCTGCAGTAGGCGTCCCACATATAAAGTAGAGGAAGATGGGTATGGATGTTAGCTCAGGGCCAGTCTTCCTCAGCAAAAAGAGAAGGATTGGCAGCAGATGTTAGCTCAGGGCTAATCTTCCTCAAAAAAAAAAGAATCGTCAACAGACAAAAACCTCCAAAGCTAAGCGAAGCTCCTTAGTGTCTGCCATAAAGTTCCCTTGCACTCTGCTGTCTTGTATTCTAATAGGTCCTCTATTGCTGAGGCTCCCTGTGAGCTCATCCTCTCCTTGAGCCAGGCCCTCTTAGGAGAATTCTGACCTTATGGAAATTTTAATCAGACTTATATCTGCATTGATGAATTTGCCATTAATGAATAAATTTGTCTACAATTTCATTTTATATCTCTCCTTTGCACACTACATTCTACCCTAAGGGCCATTCCGTTTCTGAAAATGTCAAGCTCATTGCTGCTTTAGGGTCCTTAGCATCTGATATCTACTCTGCCTGAAATACACCTTCCTGGTCTCCACATGGCTGGTTCCTTCTCATCATTCAAGTCTCAGCTCAATGTCACCTCCTGAGAGGGCACATGATCACCTTATCTAAAGTCCTCTCTATCCCCAGGCTCTATCACATTGTCTTGTTTTAGTCTATAAATAATCATTATCTGAAATTACCATTATCTTAATCATTATCAAAAATGATCACATTTGTTTACCTCATCTCCATTTGAATATGAATTCTATGAAAGTAGAGGTCTCCTCCAACTTGTTCAGGACCGACAGTCTGGCACACAGAAAATGGAGGCCTAGAGAGGGTAAGTGACTTCCCCAAAGTTGCAAAGCCAGTCAGTGCTGGGGCCAGACTTCATGGCTCCCAATTCAGGGCTCTTTTTGTTAAAACATAGCTACCCTGCTCAAATTCTCTTCCCAGTAGCAGTTAAGGAAGCAAGCAAGCAGGAGGGAGGGAGAGAGGCAGACAGAAAGAGAAAGAGAGGAAGAGAAGGAGAAAAAGGAAGGAAGAAAAAAAAGAGAAGGCACACCTAGAAATTCTCTTAAGATCAGGACCTCGGGGTTTTGAACAGGTTTTGCTATTGCCATTGACCCCCAAGGACATTTTGTTGTAGTCTTGCATACAGTTTATAACCTCTTACTGTATATCCCCAGAGGGTGAGGGATGCATCCAGAAAATGCGTAGACAGGCAGTAAATGTTTTTGGTTGAAGATAATTATCTCAGATCCTAAGTCTCCCCTATTAATGCGTTCTGCTTCACAAAACAATTAGCCTTTATCCAGCTCATAATATATATTTCTGGTAGAAATAATCAAGCCAAATGCAACTGTCATTGAGATAGATTGAGACCTTACTGACTGACTGAAAGTTGAAAAAACTGCACCTCCATTAGATTTGTCTGAAAAAAAGAAACTCAAAACTGACACTGGTGAAAATGATAAAATTTTTTACTAAACCTTGATGTATCAAGTCTTGACAAAATTTAGATCTGTCAAATAACAAACCACGGAAAAATGGACTCGCCAGAAATAATTGACACAAAGGAAACTTACAAAGGCAGAAATTATAAGCAAAACGTTTATATGACCAAAAAAGAAAGAAAAGGAGAGAAACTCTGATAGGTGAATCATATTCACGCCGCAAGTCCATCCCGAGAGCATAGCAAACGTGTGGGCGACGAAGATAGAGAGAGAGGCTGCCAGCAGGAAGAAAAGAAGCAGGTGACAAAATGGATTTCTGCTGCTGTTCACTTACCTTTCTTTTCCGCAAGAAGTACTGAATCTATAAAGAAAAGAGCTGCACGCGATGAAGATTTCTGTAAAATGAAAATGGGTGAAAAATGGAAATGGTTTAAGTGCTCTCTATAAAAAACCCAAGAAATATCATTTGGCTCAAACAGATTTGTTTCAGAAACATTCCTTCCGCGCTAACGCATCAATGTTGGCACACTTCTTACTAAAATGTCAATATTCAAAGAAGCTGTCGAGGCATTCAGGGTCCAAAGGGTGTCCTCCAGCTCTGGCCCCCAGGGCGGCTGGGGGAGCCCTCTCCACTGCAGCACCACTAGCCTGCCTATTTGGGGACTCACTGCCGTCTTTTTTTTTTTTCCCTCAGCACCGGCCTCAACTCGGGGCCAGCCAGCGCGAGGGGACCAAGGACAGTATCTCGAATTAAAACCGCTCATTCCGGACAGGTCACAAGGACAGGCGCTCCAAGGCTCCGTAGAGTCGGAAGAACGCCGGTCTCGGCGCGGAGCACATCGGGAGTTGTAGTCCAGCCCCGTCGTCACGGAGGCGGGAGGCGGTGGCCCGCGAGCAGCAGGAAGGGGCGGGGCCACGGCTGGGGGTTGCGCAGGCGCACACTTTCTGCCGGGCAGCATGGCGGACGCAGCCCCTCAAGGCAGTAAGAGAAAACGCGATCTGGACGCCGAGGAGGCGGAAGCCCCCAGCACAAAAGAAAAGGAAGCAGGCTTTGGGAATGGTACCGCTGCCCCTGTCCGCCTACCTTTCTCCAGCTTTAGAGTGAAAAAAGTGCTGAGGGAGTCCGCGCGGGACAAAATCATCTTCCTACACGGGAAGGTACCATTTGACAGCCCGGGATGGTGGATGCGGGTAGGAGTGAACCAGTCATAGCCTGGGAGGCGGATCTTTTTCAGAATTCTGCCGGAAAGTACCAGTCGCGTTACTTGCGGGGGAGGAAGAGTGCACCACTACCATGCATGGGGGAGGAGGGCGTGGAAGAGACAAGATCCCCCGTGGAA